ATTTTTACATGATGAATAAGGCAGCAGGTAATGAGAAACTTGCCTTTCAGAAGAGTTAAAGGTGGCATCACTGTTTACATCATTAAGGCAATTTAAATTTTATGCTCTGGCTAACACTGACTGAAAAATCCCAAACATCAGTTGCAGTCTAGAATTAAAGCTTTCTACCAGTGAAATGTCAGATCCTGATCTCTCCTTAAAACATTTTGTGATTATGTCAGCATCAAAGCAACCGACAACAGAAACAGGCCCCTGCTTCTGCTGATGGTATTAGTCCTTCAGCAACAGCATTTCACATGGGTAATTTAATCTATCTTGTAAGAACAAATCCAAAGAGATTGCATCTGTCTCAAAAGCAATGTCCTAATGCAAACCAGTAGGAATTACCTACTGTTCTCCAGCAAATACTTCACTTAAAAACAGAGAAGTAACCCTTTCTTCCTCAGCACTATCCACTGTCACCAAGTGATTCAAACACATAACTTCCATCTCTAACTCTTCTAAGAAAGATTTACTTCACCATTGACTCAGTAACCAACAAAAAGAGATGGTTACCAGCTAATGTTTTCTACTTCTTACACAGTAATACATGTTAGCTGGAGCAGGATTTTCTTGCTGATAAGAACAGGCAGGCTGAAAGCCAAGTGAAACTTGGTATAGAACTAATTATAACTGGAAATATCCCTTTTTAGATTGCCATGTTGTCTATCCTACTCCTCTGGTTTGTTTACTCAACTGATGCATGTAAAAATACTGAGCTGTCTTGAGCTAGAAGCCTCTCACACTGGTACTAACATTTTTCAATATATATTTTGCAATTATTAAATAATGACTAAGAACAGAAACAATACTTCCTGTCTGAACTGCTGCTGAACAGCTTATCTATGTGGGCATCTTGAGATTAAGAATTTCCATGGGTTTAAATCTTCAATGAGGCTGTGCTTTCAACCAATATGTAAGTTGCTTTTTTCTCCCCCTCCAGCCACATACACTCATTCTTTCTTTCTTTCTCCTGCTGCCTGAGTAAGAATTATAGCTATAGGTTAAGCTGAATGGCAAGCAGAGATAATTGGAAGAGACTGCATGTAATTCATAGACTCACTGGGACTGGGATATCTTCAAGAAGCCTGAAGAGGTTCACATGTGATAATTAAGCAAGATTAGACAAGAAGCAGCAGAAAGAAGAAAAAACTAGTTCTGAGATTTTATTTTCTACATATTGCCAATGCTATTTCAGCATAGTTGAGTTTTTCACAGAAGAGCGTTATCTTGAGACAAGAACGCATCAGCACATTGCTATGTACCGAAAAAATGTCATATTGTTAAGTCAGCCACTGCTGGATTAAAAATACTAGAAAAAAGACTGACAAAGAAAATCCTTAACACTGCTATCATCAAAGACAGGCAGTGAATCCTGGATAAGCTGGAAATATTATATAAATAACAGTATTTCACTGTGTGTGGATCATGGCACTTCAATGCCCAGTTCAATTCTCCATATAGCTCTGCCAGTCAATTTTATTTTAGAAGGGAGGAGTACAAAAATCCGATTAACTCCTGTGGTTGCCTTAAAATAAAAATGCACCAGGGAAGGGATGATCAGGGCAAACATAGAATGTGACTTCCTCAACTTCAACTGTTCTCAGTTCATTGAATTTCTTAAATTTGATGCAGTTTGTTTAGGAACCCTCTACAGATCTCTTGTCTACTATTTTGTGTAACCTGTCCATGAGCCCCCAAACTTTTTGCATTCTTAACTGCCATAAGCAAGGAGTTCCAGAACCCCAGTAACAATTCTTTCAAGGTTATTTCATTGCCTTGCACAGATTCCCAAGGAAAACTACTAAAACTTCTTCTAAATTTCCTACATTGTCGTAAGTTACTTATACCTGCTCTCCTTGCTACCAAACATACCAGTTTGTATCACATCTATGTGCTTTCATGAAGGTACAGTATTATGTGAAGTTTGACTTCTCTTTAACATCCACCCTTGACCAAAAATACTGAAGCCAAACACTGCTATATTACAGCTTTTAAATGAAACTTGTTTATTTGTAAACCACATCTTCAAAGTATCACTTTCTTGCTATCAAGTTTCATTTCATTAGTGCTGGACTCAATACAGCTTCTGTCTACAATTCCATTGATATAAATCAGTTCCCAGTCTCAAAACCAGACTCCTTGAAAATGTCCGAGTACCAAACAACTTTCCAAGTTTGCCACAGCATAACAAATACCAACATGTTTTTGACAACAGACTGGCAGCCTCCGCTATTTTAATGTGTGTTTTGTGTTTTCCTACCAGCTTTCTGATACACCAACAGCTATATTGGAATGTACGTCTCAAGGTCAGTTTCCTACAAAGTGGAAGACAGAGATATTTGTTATGTCCTCAGAAGTCTGCAACTGAAAGCAAAAAAGATTCTCTGAGAAACTGAGATGTAACTTCAGTTACAAATGGCAGTTTGTCACAGGATCAGTTTCAGAGTTAGTCATCAATGTAGTATTTTATTCAAATTTACAGGAAGGTGATATATACTGTTTGTATCACTTAATCAGAATCTCAGTGTACTCATTATAAAGCTATACTTATCCAAATGACCATTTCAGAAATCTTTCATGATTAAATCATGTAAATCATGATTTACACAGAGAAGATTTTTTTTCTGTTTTTAACTCTGTTTGCTGATGGACAAGGCTATGCAGGTTGACAGATTGTGCTCCTCCCCTCAAGTTTCCTGCTACTGACAGCAGCAGCCTGGGCCTTGCCAAGTTTCTACCTATGCAAGTTTGCCTTACTGAGATGAAGGTTACTCAAAAGCCACAGCATCTCTCAACTCATCAAACATGTATATCAACATGGCTATGTAATAATTTTAACATATAAGATCAGAAAAAAGTAGCATTTAAGTGAAGTCAATCTTTAAAACAGCTTAGAAAAAGAGTGTGAATTGAATTATCATCCAAATCCACATTCCAATGATAAACTCTGCATCCATCTAAAAGAGATTTTTGAATCTCCAGCTTAAAGCAGACATAATTATTGAGTCAAGAGAAGCTGGGACATTCAGTTCTCCCAGGATGCTTCCCTTGTGCTGTGTGTGTCACAAGCCATCTGGGCTGATTAGCCTAAAAGCACAGAATTTCTTAGGCTTCAGGAAATAATTGCAGAAATTATTTGCAATTTAAGGATTATTCCTGATTCATAAATCGTTCAGCCACCTCATCAAAGTAAATCCTTATCACCCATTTCCTCTGGCTAAGAAGCCAAGCCTTCTTGTAGAGAGGACATTGCCAGCATTGTCAGTACTTCTTCAATAGAGGCCATTAAGATGCACTCTACAGAGCAGGACCTCAACTCAGCACAGACTAAGTGCTCATGAAAATCCCAACAGCCTGCAATGAAACAGGCATTTTAGCAAGAACTTGCAACACCAGTTCCCCATGTGACCAGGGATAAGCAAAAGTCTCCTCAGGGTGGGGGTTTTCTTCAATTCCTATAGGATATTGTCAGCAGAACTGCTGCAGCTGAATCCTCCTTTTAGAGCAGAGAATGATTACTGAGCAAAGTCCACATCTCTGCAAATCCAGCTACTTTTAAGGGAAAAACAACATTCTCAAAATATCTTCCAAAAATGCACCTACTTGGTAGCAGCTTCAGAGTGATCTGGCATGTGAGTCCAAGAGCTATAAAGAAATGCAAAGACCTTTCCTGACTAGGCAAACTTCAACCTTGGGATAACTATTTAACGCTGTTAGGATTTTACTGTGACATACCATGTGTGCAGGTATCCAGAGATTTGCATAATCTGTTTTTATTGCTCCAACTGAAACACAATACAGGATTTTCAACCTAATTATCAAAAGCACCATTAGTATTTTGATCTCCTTAGCATCCCTGTTGGCACGGGACTTAACCCTGCCTGAAAGCTTCTCATTAAGAAGATGGTGCTGCTGTTTACAGCAAATAGTGGCTAAAAGAGAACACCACAAGCACTGCTGATATATTTTATCATATTACTTTCTGTAATCTTATATTCCTTCATCTCTTCTCCATTTTGAGAGATCCATACTTTCTAATTCCAGATTTCAGGATTCCAGGCAAGCAATGTTCAACTCAAGATTGATGGCATGATGGCTTTTTTTCTAAAGAGCCCGTGCCAACATTTCCTACTAACTGGTTTATTCCAAATAACCAATCCCTCTTAAAGGATGATCAGGTCCAAAAGTAATGGATTTTACTCCAATGAGCTCTTACACGAACAGTTCCATTAAACAGGATTACTCATTAGAGTAACAATACATTAAATGAGATCATTATGTTAATCGAGGCTATTTCTACAGTTTCAACACTTTACAGTTAAAAGACAATACTGGGCAGTTTTTGGAACCCAAACATTGATATTTTTATAATGAAAAATACTATCCACAAGCAGGAATTAAACCTCAACTTCAAAAGCAACTTTTCTACTCTAAGTTGGATATTGACATTAGATCATTGGTTGAAATTTAGGTAGCTGGTTGTCACTCATGTCCCATTTGTTAGGCCATCACCTTTTAAGCCTGGAGGCATGTAATTCAAAATGGGCCCATAGAATTTAGAGCTATGTGATCATGACACACCTGTGAAAAAAATCTTGCCAATTTCATTCATTATCAGCAAACAATGTAAATATTTACTGTATCAGGCTAACCCAAGAATTTTGTATATTTCTCCAGAAGACAGAAATTTAGTAAAGTCTCGGTAAATATGTGAAGCAGCTCTCAATTATAAAAATGTAACAAAACGAAAACTTAGATTCAACTTCATTTCACTTTTAACAGCTTCGTAACAAAAAACTCTTTCCTTCACCAAATCAAGGCTCAAAGCCCACTGGCATCAAGAACAAACCTGCTATAGACATGAAGTTCTAACCCTGCAAGATGCACCAATTCCCCTGAAAAGTGTTTTACATCTTTACACAATACACCAGACGGAGTACCAGATTGACAATCCTTACCTTAATTTGACGTCTGGCCTGGACACTAACGCTCTGCTACAGGATAAAGTTTCCATGCAGTTTTGCTTTCTTAAACTGAAGATAAACTGCTCGACCTCCTCCAGCTCAAAGTTAAAAGCTGAGGGTGCCTACGTTTCATTGTGTGCCAAAGTACATTTGACAGAACGCGAAGTGAACAGCAGGCTCTGGGTGACGAAAGCAAAGTCTCAGTGTCATTAAAGTGAAATCACTACAACGTACAGTACATCCCCTGGGTAAAAATGTCAGCAGATCACTGCTGAAGCAGAAATACCACCATTGTAACTCTTTTCCACCGTTACTATTTTTTTTTTCTTTAACTGTGGCCTTTGAACACACACTGGGTGCTTTTGCTTCTTCCCTTTTCGGAGACTGAAACCTTCGAGATACGAAACCTCACGCTACAAGACCTCTGCGAGCGGGGCTCGCAGCAGCTGCTCCCAAGGCAGCTGCAGGTGCGTCTCCCCGAGCACCGAATTACAGGGCGCACAAACCCCCGCAGAGCCGGGCCCGCCGTGCCAGCCCGTCCCCGAGCCCGTGGCACCGCGGGCGGCTCGGCTCGCCCGTGACATTCAGCCGGCCCGGAGGGGACGCGCCGGAGGCCGCCCCGCCCTCCCGGCCGCCCGTCCCCGGCCTCCCGCGGCCATCGCGGCCCCCGCTGCCACAGCATCCCCGGCCGAGCCGCGACCCCCGCCCCTGCGCAGGGCGGCGGCACCGCCAAGAGGGCAGCGGCCGCTCCCCGCCGGTCAAGAGCCCCCGATGAGGGGCGGGGGACGGCGCGGGGGTGGCGGCGCGGCCGCCCCGCACTCACCGCCGGACGGCGCGGGCCGCAGTCGCCTCCCGGGGCAGGGCCGCTCCGCGCCCTCGGGTCCCGCCGGCCGGCCCGCCCGGCCCGCGCAGGGAGGGGCGGAGGGCGGGAACACGCAGCCGCCCCGCGCCCCTCCGCCCGCCCTGACGTCAGCGCGCCCGCCCCGCCCCGCCCCGCCCTGCCCGTGGCGGCGGCGCGGCCGGGACGCGTCGCCGCGTGTCCACATCACGCCCATCTCCCCATCACACCCGTCACACTCAGCACACCCATCGCTCCATCTCCCCATCGCTCCCATCGCCCCCATCTCCCCATCACCCCCATCTCCCCATCGCTCCCATCACCCCCATCGCTCCCATCTCCCCATCGCTCCCATCTCCCCGTCGCCCCCTCCGCCGTGCCTCAGGGGCTACCGGGCGCCTGGCCCCGCGCGGCCGCCGCAGCTCAGCTCGGCCGTGTGACGCTGCCAGCGGGCGGGCAAGGCCCGCGGGTCGCCTCTGCCAGCCTGCGACAGCAATCGTCGAGCTCGCTGACAGAACTAAGGGCAAATGGGAGTTGATAAAAGCATTGCAGGGACGGGCCTGCAGGTGTCCCGGCCCTGCGGCATGGAAGGATAGAATCATAGATAGCATCGTCAGGGGTGGAAGAGACCTTTAAGATCCCCCAGTGCAGCCATCCACTCAGCACTGCCACTGTAACCCAGCTCCCCATGACAGACACCTCCAGGACCGTGGCCATGCTGCCTCTCTATGCAACCTACTCCAATGTCCAACCACCCAAACAATGAAAAAATTGTCTTCTAGTATCACATCCGAATCTCTCTTGTTTACAGCCATTTCCTCCTGTCCTCTCTCTGCAGACACAGCAGAAGAGACCGGCCCTACCTAAGAACAACCTGCTTTCAGCGAGTTGCAGAGAGCGATGATGTCCCACACCCCAAGCCTCCTCAGGACCAAACAACCTCAGCTCCCTCAGCTGTTCCTCACAAGTCATGTTCCCTAAACCTTTCACAAGCCTTCTTGCCCCTCTGTGGACACACTACAGCCCATCGATGTCCTCTATAAAGTAGGGGCCCGGAACTGAAGACAGCACTCGAGATGTGGCCCCAGCAGTGCCCAGCACAGGGATTGGGATGATCCCTGCCTTGGTCCTGCTGCCCACACTGCAACAGAGCACGCTCGAAGGAGAAAGGTGCTGACCCAGCTATACAAAAATCCTGAAGGACTCTTGCAGTCAACCACAGGATTCTCCAAGCAGGTGCTCATAGAATTAATTATTTGCTGCCTATGCTAGGAGTTATAAGACACTGACAGAAGGTTTGGGAAGTTCCTTGCCAGTGAGGTGGATCACTGAGTCATTATTTACACCTCAATGCTCTGCCTTGGGGCTTGTGTTTCTGCATCTCTCCTGGTTTGGGGCGTTCATGTTTGTGTTGTCACCATCACCAGCATTTCACCATCTCACATTGCTGTGCTTCAACAGCAAGTATTCAAAGTTTCTTTTCTCTCAAAATTTTCAATAGCCAATTTTTCTAAGCTTTTGCCTGCCTGCTTTGCCAGGCCTCCCAGAGGGAGGAAGCTGCACAGTCACCTCAGGCTATGTTTGTGTAGGAATAAAACCAACACCCTGTAATTGATAAGCCTTGTTCACCTCTTGACTAGAAACTGGGTGTGCTTAGATGTCAGCCCAGGCACTGCAAGTGCCTCCTCATCTTTCTAGACACAGGGCATGAAGATGTGTACATTTGCCTCATAGGCAGCAGAAAGGCCTTTTCTAAAAAAGAAGGAACTAGAACTGAAGCTTTTATATGTTTGGTTTTGTTTGGGGTTTGTTGTTGGGTTTTTTTTTTTTTGCTAAAATTTAAATGTACTGGCATAAATGCATTTATTCTTAGAACAATCTGAAGTATGATGACTCTCCTGTGGTACAGGAAGGAAAAAAAAAGGCAAGAAGAGAGATTAAATCTCTTGCTCAAAGCTGAAGAGATAGCAAAGCCAGGAAATGAACTCAGATTTCCTCAGTCAGGCATCAGTGCTTTAAACCACACAGTCATACTTTCTTGCCAGTCATTCTTAGCTTCTGAGCATCAGCTGCATTAGCATAGATTTAATTTTCCCTACTTTGTTCATCAAAACAACTTCTCCATTCCCACTGAAATTTCTTCCTAATAACTTTCTTCTCCATTTCCTTCTGAAAAATTAAAGAAATTATATTAGAGACTCACTGGGAGAGTTGTATTTCCCACTACCTTTCTGCAGTGGCACTGGCAGTTGTTTCTTCAAGGCCAGTTCTTTAAGTCCTCTCTCACAAAGCAATTGTGGAGCTCCTCTGATGCAAGATCAAGGAATAGAGATCAGAGAACCAGGAACACTTGTAACCAGCACAAAGGAGGCACATAAGCTGTGTGTGCTGACCTGGAAGTGGTGGTGTAACCACATTTTTTAACTCCAGCTCCTGCTTTTTGTCATCTGGAAACAATTATGAAAGAGCTCTGAAAGAAAACTACACATGTAAAAGAAGAAAGTAACCTAGAGATATTTTAGGACGGATTTGAGAACCTCCACTATCTGTTTAGGCATTTAACAGATTTTCATATGCTTATATAGGCTGAAGATTAAGACCCAGTCTTGAAGCAGAATTCAGAGAAAGGAAGCATTACATACAAAACTCCAGCTTCTGACTGGTTGCCTCAAAAATGGTGTTAACCCTCCTACAGACAGACTGCAGACTGAGGTCTAGCTATGATTAACTGCAGTATCTTTTCCTCCTAGTTTATTATCAGATGTTTTCAGCTTGAGGTCATCACCTTGAATTGATTTTCTATTAAATTGATTTAAATGGACATTATATTACACTGGGAGATGGACTAAAAGCTTGTTATTATCCCCTTTGCTCACTGACCTGGCAGTGTGCTGCCTCCAAAACCAGAGACACAGCCGTGGGTGACACCAACCACCCCAAGAAAAGCTGGATGTGCAGTTAGTGATATTCACACAGATATTTTCCCAGCCCTAGTAGTTCACAGGCCAGGGACTCCACTCTAGTGGAAAAGGAAAGAAGGATTTCTTAAATTTGATCATGTAGCTGAGCCCTACACTCTGAAAATCTGAACTAGATATTCCTAATTCTCTGCATTATAATGACACTGAGTGAGTCTGCTTGAGTTAAAATTATCCTCAAACCAAGGACAGTCTGCTTCCTGCATCACTTCATAAAAATCATCTTTGCCATGATGTCCATTAAAAAAAATTCTTTCCTCCATAGCGCATATGCTGCGACTGCTGCAAACTAATCTGTTCATAATAATTTCACTTCTACTTTATGCATTCACTTTCTGTTACTGCATTCAAATACATTCTGCTTATACTCAGATTTGATGCTGTCTGGTAGATGAGGTATATTTTCTTGGTTTGCATTCTTTCAAGTTCTAAAGGGTTAGGCACCCAGGAGCCACCAGTTTTTTCCCCCATATATAAGTAATAATGTATTCATTGTGGGTATTTTACTTTTACAAAATACTGCAGCATGGATTCTCACTAACTCACTGACATCAGGAAAACAGATGTTAAAATTAGAGACCTTATGCTTCTTGAGGTCTAGGTGGATTTTTGATTAAATATGACAGTGCATGCAGTTGGAGGGTTAGGGGTTGAAATCCTTCATTTAAAAATGTCTCATGATTCTGTAAAATGTATTCATCAACAGACATCAAAAATGAACTTTCAGCTGTCTTCATATTCTGTGTCTCTACAAATAATTTTATTTTTCATTAAGGAATACATCCCTTATATTTTCTACATTTTCTTTTAACACTAAGGAGTCACTGTCTCCAAAATTGCCTATTTACTTTTCAACTTCTTATAATTTTTAAACTATACAGGTAATTTCATTTTTGTACTGCCTTAAAAATTTGTACTAAAATGGATATTTCAAGTTTATGAACTTGTTTGCTGAGATAATAAGGAAAGCAATGGGCTAATGTCACATAAAGAAATAATTAACATGAGTGTGGTCATATGTTTGTATATGTATTATTCCATGTATACTGTCCACAAGTAATGAAACTTTGTACCATTCTGCAATAAGTAATTGTATAAGAATAAAAGAATTCAGTTTGGTGAAAGCTGAGGTCTTTATAGTGGTTCTCCATCAATGCATCTTCTTCCCTTTTTACTTAAGGGAAAACACAGATGTGAGCTCAAACTCATTCTGCTGAAATACACATTTACCTAGTCACATTTAAGTCCTTTGTTTTTCCTAGCTTTGAAAAATAATCCACATTAAGCAATTGAAGATATGATATCTTTTCAGGCCTTAGTGCTATCTACCACTTTCTAAATAATATTTAGTTAATAAGGCAATATTTAAATGAAGACCTGTTCATTGCAGTTTCAGCTGCTTTGTTATTTAAATAATTATCTCAGATGTCTACCTTGCAAGGACAGTGTTGCTGGATTTATGGGTTTGGTGAGCTTTCATACCCTTCTTTCCGAAAAGCTTTTCTTGGTCAAACTCTTCTTCTGAACATTGCTGAAAGAATGTGCTTTTCAAACTCTGTGGTGTGTTATTCTGTGCCCAGCCCTGCTGACGTTCAGAG